TATACTCGGTTGCTCGAAACAGTTTCAATGCAGTTCCCGCTAGAATCGAATTTTTTGGACTCTATCCAGGGTGACGAGAGATCCAGTGAAGTCAGCGAAGCTGATTATAATAAGTTATGAATGAAATAAATATGTAAATAGGTTGTTACTGTTTGTAAATAAACTCCCTAGTTGGTACGTTGACAAATTCCTACCCCGTTGGAAAAATCTTCGTCCATGGTAGTCCTATTTTGGTGTGAGCATATCAATGATTCATTTTTTTCTTCATTCGCTTACTCGTTCTTAAAGTATTCGTTTCTTCATTAACTAATTCTTTATAAACAGTTGAATCATTATTTGTATGAAAAATTCCCAAAAGTTATTTTATGCAAAATTGTGTTATGAAGAGTTGTAATGCAACCGTAGCCAGATTCGGGTTTTATCTTCGCTTAATCGTATCCTTTGTTTTCAAGAATAGGGATAAAATCCGTCTACTTGGGAAACTTATTGCTGACCAAGTAAGAATGGAATAAAAATTATTTAAAATAATCTTATTTTTGTCAGTAAATTTGGTACGTTGCCTGTAGACGAATTGTATATTTGTTGACAATTATGTGCCCTACCTAATTTGTGTCATAAGCGAATGTGTCAACTTGTTCTTTAACTTCCTCCGAGCAGATTCACAGAGGTTGCGGATAGTAGACATGCCTGAGGTAAACAAACGGGAAATTAATCCAATAAGCAGTCGTTGGCAGCTCGACTGCAGTGCTTTGAGTATACGGATAGTCATTCTTTGATATGGATGGCTCCAAAATACTCTCAATTCCAATGACAGCAGTACTACTTGACGATTGAGTGCCCCTTCCATATAAATGTTACCGTTGCAAATTTTGGCAATCTGCTTCGCAGCTGTGATAGATTGGGCACTTTCTGCGAATGCTTCCAGGTAGGAAGGCCAGACTGCAATTCCTTGCTCAATTGGCAGACCGAAGATCCCGGGGACAAGTTGCTCAACGGATTGCTCTACAGTTCCAGGTTGTCTTCTGGCTAAGCTGAGGCGCTGGCGTAGGACTTGGAATGTTTGAGAAAGTGCCTGACGTTCATGCCACTTTCGTTCGAAGGGATAAGCGACCATCCAAACAGCGTGTGAGTGATTGACTAATTGACTGATGATGGTAGAGTATGTGCGATATATGCTATGTTGTGTGGTACAGCTACTACCAGTATAGCTAAGTTTATTGATAAAATATATTGAATGGTATCTGCACCATGTGATATATTCAGTATATGTATTATGTTGGTTGACTGTATATAAGACCTA